TGTGCATGTCAGTAAATAAAAGCCACCCACTTGAACCAAACTGCTTTTTAAATGGCAATTGCCCAGTTTTAACACTCGAAATACATTTCAAAAAGTTGAAAGGACTGTGAAATGCTGATAATTTATGTTAAAAGTTAACGATGAGCAACCAACACTGCTAGTACTCTGTCCTAATTCCTTTAGTTCCTATCACTAGAGACTGAAGCTACGTGGGTACAATTACAATTGAATTTAATGAATTGGATACCCAGGCATGCACTTTCTAGTCTGATTCAATGTCAAAAAAAATGTTTTGGTAGCCTCTAGTGGCTTAAGTCACCACTACCAAATGAGCCTGTATTTTGAAGCTGCAGTAGCATATTTTTTAGACAATTCAATAATTAGAAAATCTGGCAGCAGCAGCCTGGTCCGTTCTTTGCAAAAAGAAATAATTCAAATTCAAATAAATAGTAGCTTGAGAGTATCATAGTGGCATATTACGGAACATGTGGATGTTTTAAAGCACCAGTCTAGATAACTAAAAGGTATTGGGGATTTGTGAATGTCTTAAACTGCTGTGAGAGGAATCCTCTTCATCAAACTACAGTCTTCCAACTTCTCAACGGTATCACAGCCTGTAACTACTTGCTGATTTTAGGTAGATTTAACATTGTGTTATGTTCTTAATAGTGGGTGGTTTAAGCCTCACTGCCTGTCGTGTCTGTGCCCTTGTTACTGAGGTCTGGTCTTCCCCCTATTGCATGTACAAGAAACTTGTTAAAAATGGTATGGGCCTAAGGGATGAATTCGCAAGAGGCCCTTGGGATGTGGGGTTATAATATTAAAAGTATCCTGCAGATTTCTTTTAATGGCATTTTTATACCAATACATGCAACAGTAGGCTTTCTTGTGCTTTTCCATCACTTATGATCTTTCTATCAAGATCTGCGAATTTGATTTTTAGTGTTGTTTAGAAAGATTTGTTCTCATGGTATTTTAGAAAACAACCTTCTATTCAGAGCAAGATAAGCTTACAGTATTAAAGAGATTATTCTCTGAATTTATTGAAAGAATGGTTGTGAAATGAACACTTCTATGACTGGTGGTAGAAAATGTATTCATGCTATCCATATCATGCTATTCATGTATTCAGGCTGTCCACTTTCCATCATGGACTGGCTGACAGGCCTTCAAGGAGTAAATCTATTAAAGACATCATATACAGCTGATTTGAAAAAAAAAAAATCCCAAATTATTAGACTTTTTTTTTTCTTCTGTAGGTTTGCAGACATTGACTTTTTGCTCCTTAACATTATTTCTTAACTTTAGGAGTATGTTCAAATAATATGTAATATTTTGGAAGATGATATTTTAAGCATTCATTATTTGCTATTTTACAATTCTTGCTGGTCCTACCCTTTAATTATTTTAGGAATATCTTTAGAAATAAGTTTAATAGTTTGACTTTATTGAAAATGTGCCCTTTTTTTTTTTTTTTTGAAAGTCATGGGCTTTTTTTTTTTTTGAAAGTCGTCAGCTTTCAGTTTTTTTGAGCATATGAAAGTAGTTCAAATTCTTGATCTCGAATGCAAAGTATGCAAAGTGAGTTTTCTTAGCTTTGTTTCCTTTCATTTTAAGATGTATTAATAATCAAATGTTAATGCCACTTATTTTATCTATTTTTGTCTGTATGTATTTCATCTTTATGTAGAATCTGTATGTTGGTGTTAATTCGAAATTAATAGTTTGTTGTGTGTGTGTGTTTGTTTTTTTGTTTTAAAAATTAATGTTCATAGCTCTCAAGTCTTGGAGATGATTTTCCTTTACTGCCAAGGAGATAAGTAAGGGAGCAGGATGACCAAATCTGTTTTTGACCTTAAAGTAAGCCAAACTTATGTCAGAACTCATTCAATTTCACCTTTTAAGTAAAGTACATACCAAAAAAAGTTTTGAAAGCTTAGCAACTTGTACTATTTGTTTTAAAATACTTTTTTTTTTTTAGTTCCTATTTTTCAGTAAAAAAGTGATCTGCTTAAGTCTGCTGATTGTATGCTGATTTGGCTAGTATATCTTACAAGAATATTCAAAAAAATCCATACAAGTGCACAATTAGCTGGTTTGTCCGGTAGTTAAACCACCGGTTAGTTCAGAGCATCCAAGGACTCCCTCGTGTGGTGGGTGCACAACACTTTCAAAGCATGCTCCATTTCTTCCAAAGTCCCTTTCATATTTTGACTCAATGCTAAAAAATACCTAGGCATTGCCCAGTAATTACTATTTAATTTGCATCTTCATATCAGGTGTCAGGTAAGCTTTATAAAAGCTCGATTTGAAGCATTAGTAGAAAAAAGTGTTCTATTTCAGTGCATTTGTATGTTCTTTACCAGTGCTGTGCAATATCATAGGTGAAAAGTTAGTAAGCTTGACAGAGACAGTCTGAATGCACAACTTTGAGTGACAGATGCTACTGCAAATGAGCTCCTTCTGAACTTCTTGAAACCAGTGAAATTGTTTTTATTTTTTATTCTTATTGGTGCAAGTAATGACTCACAAAAATAAAAAAACAAATCATTTTTCTTTAGCATGAACTGAGTTTAGCAGTGTTCACTGCTCTGGCTCCTGGAACAAATAGCTGGTGTACAATGTCTCTCCGTTATGTAGGGGTCTGGAAAGGCTAGACTTTTGACATTAGGAAGTTCTAAACATATAGTAGGAAAAATGGCAGAAGACTTCGATGGATAGCCTGAGGAGGTGCTGGAGGGTTTTACAACTGAAAAGTCATTAAGCACAAATTACTGAGGAAGAGTTAGGCTGCCTGTCTTTGGGCAGCAGGATTAATCTGCACACTAATATGCACTTAAACCTGAGGATTGCTTACTCTTCGGAAAAGTGTAGACTTCCTCTCTCTTCACCTCTGGTGGACTCTGAGACAAATGTCCACTTTGAATGTGTTTTTAGAATTGAAAGCAAGCTTATGATAAGATTAGGTGATTTCTTGCCTTTTGGTGAATTAAGTTAGCTGGTTTGGAAGAGGCACACATGAAGCAAAAGTCCCAGGCTGCACCTGGCAGTGTTTCCTTTAGTTCCTGGCTTTGTATGACATTAATGACATAATTTTACACAATAAAATGGCAGAATAGTTAGGGTTGGAAGGAACCCCTGGAGATGATCTAGTGCAACCCCCCAGTTGAGCAAGTCACCTATGACACGTTACCCCAGACGATACACAGGTAAGTTTTGAGCATCTCCAAGGAAGAGATACCCACAGCTTCCCTGGGTAACTTGGTTCAATGTTCGGCCACTCTCACAGTAGAACTTGGGGATTGTCTTGGATTGTGTTTGTGTAACTTTCTACTTCTCACACTCGTTGCCGAGTTCAGTGAAGCCTCTCCATAAGAACTGGTCATAAAGGGTTTTCTTTGGAGCTTTTGGGATACCTGCTCCCTGGTCTGGCTGTTTTTACTATGTGAAAAACAGATAATGTAAACAGAGCGGTGGAAGTCATCTCTAGGGGTCTCTCTTTAACCCCTACTGGAAATAATGATAACTTCTTCATAGAAATCAAAATTTCTGGGCAAAAAGCTATTTTCATTAGCATTTGTGACTTAAATATGCTCTTGTCTAGGAGATAATTGAAAATAACACCAAAAACTAGCATTTCTTTTTTAGGAGACAACTAAAAAGTTGTGCAAGGAAAGAGACATTCTTCTAGATTGTGTTGTGGTATGTGTAGACCTGCTGATAAGAATTTCTGTTCTGCAGACAGTGCAAGTGATAGAGATGACAGTACCAAAGTTACACTAATCAAATTAGTAAAGAAGAACTTGTTTTTCAGGATAACTCAGTTTACTTTTTTGCTTTACTGTTTAATACATGGTTCTTTTGGAGTATCTGTAACTTAGTAAAGCCATTTATTGCTAGGAATAAGCTAAGCTTGTTTTATATAGTATTCTCACCTTTCCTACCACTCAGTCTCCAAGATAGTATTTCCAATTAGTATTTTGTTAATGAGAAATGCTAATTGCTTCACTCTGTTCTGGCTTGTTGACTCATTTCTTTTAGATCTCATTTTTGTACAGTTAATTTTTTAAAAAAGTAGTCAACAACATCTATGCAATTCTTAGTGTACTTTCTTCTGTGTTAAGGCCATATATAAACTTTGGTATTTTTGTACCTGTGGTTCATTATAAATCTGAAAAGGGCAGCTGAGGGCAGCTAGTTGTGATGGTTTTCAGGTTGAAAGATGACATTTATATTAAGTTCTCAAGTGTTCAATGTTAGATGTGGGCAGTAACTCAGGAGGAGGTAACTAAAAAGTGCTTTATGGCCATCTGAACTAGATGTGCTAAAAGAACCTGAAAGCAGTACATGTTTGTTTTGAAGATACTTCGGTGCTATCCAGTCACTTGTAGCTGTTTTTTTGAGTATAGAAATAAAATTGAGTTTTTGAAGTAGTTTATACTGTGAGGCTCTACACTTGTAATTGCACTTTGTATTCTACGCTGTGAGTATAAGTAAATATTCGTAGAAAAGTTCAGCTTCAAAGATAACTTTTGGCTGAGAAATCAGAATTCTCTTCTTGAAATATGTGTTAGCTTTAAAGTTCTAGTGCAGTATTTTGCTATTAAATTTTATTGACTCAGGTATGGAAGCTCAGAGCTAAGCAAGTAGTTTGTATAGCAAGGGGTGTATATTTTAAACCTTGAAAGTCTTGCACTTACAACTCTCTCACTGATCATAGCAAAGTTTTGAACTTATTTCTCATAAATATTTATAAGTTGTTCGTTAAATTGGCTGTAGCTGTTTATGCATTGAACCTAGGGCAGTCCTTCGAAACAGATCACTAATGTTGCTGGAAAAAAAATCAGTGTTACGAGCATCTGAAAGTTCGATATATGAAGTAGATAATGTTTTTTATATAAGCAATTTTTGCTCAGTTTGTCCATACAATTTTTAAATATCTCTTTTCTGTAATGTAGTGTTGCAAAACCAATTATCACTTCATTTCCTTTTTTAATCAGGACAAAGCTTGGGCTATGGCTTTGTCAACTATGTGGATCCCAAGGATGCTGAGAAGGCTATCAACACGCTGAATGGATTGAGGCTTCAAACTAAAACAATAAAGGTAAGTTGAGAGAATTATGTTTTAAAGGAAACACTTCAATTTCTTGGTGAGAAGAATGATTTATTTCCAGTTTTCAAGTGTAATTAAGGCTTTCTATTAATATTTGTTGTGTAGGCGGGGACTTCCATAGAGCAGGTTGTTAGTTTGTCCTTATCATAAGCAGGCTTTACTTTAAATTTAGAGAGCTAGATTCTGATTAGACTGAAGATTTCTAGCTAGGTGGTTTCTTAATGCTTCAAGCTTGAAACAATTGTGTTACACGCTTGGTTATATGCAGTATTTCATTTCTGGAAGTCTGGGAATACTGCATTATTTGCTTTTTTCTTACTTTCTCAAAGAATATGATTTGAAATGCCTTTTAGAATTATCTTTATTTTATGGTGATGGTGGCTTGTTTGTTTTAAAATTCCTTAAAAATAACTATCCGAAATAACTAGATCGGCTACAAGGAAATATGTTACCGGATTCCTAGCGTGATGGCTTTTTTTATGTTTTACAGTTACTGTCCATATGCATCCCTGTACCTCTTGTTTCCTGACTTTAATTAGGCAGAAAAATTTGTGTGAGCAGAAGTAATTTCAGAATTTGCATTTCTTACCAATGTTCATTTTTCTACTCAACCACATTTTATTCTTGTGGCTTAAATTGGCTTAAAGTTTCTCTAAATTCATTACCTGGGCTGCAATGGTGGGAAAAATGGCTTTTTTAATTAGTATCTGGTTTTAGCTGGGTATTTTAAGCATGTTTCAAGTTTCGTTTTACCGAGATTTGCTTTAAAAAGCAGTCTTGAAGCCCATTATCAGAAGGGTAACAGCATATTCCTCTGAACAATTCTTTGAGTTCCAAAAATCTCTGGAGAGGAGATGAAATAGAATTCTTTAAGGAATTCTGACTTCTGAGTATATTTTGGCAGTGTCTGAAGTCAACATATTTGGTCACCAGTCCATTCTTCTATATTACCCAGCATGGTATGCCAGTGACCAGCTAGTGACTTGGGTAGTGACTGCTGTAAGGTGAAACTTGCTTCAGAAAGAGCATTTAAGAGCAACTTTAAAAAGTGGTTCTGATCCGCTTGAAAAATGATTTTGAGGCAAGAATAGCAGTGATTAAGGTTTAAATGGTTAAACCTGTCCTGGGTTTGTAAGAATTAAAACACACTATTCGAGAGCTATAAATATATAATGTAGCATGCAGGTGGTTTTTTTTTTTTTTTTTGAAGCTGTTGTCTTGGTGTGATGGGAGAAGAATGGGAAGTGCCTCTGGTAGGCATTATAACCGCATATTTGGTAATAACTTTCCACTAATGACTTATTTGCAGTGTCATATTTTTTAATTGCATGTAGTCTTTTAAGCTTGAAGTTCATTTAATTTTTGCACTACAGCTATATAAATATTTCTAACATAAAGTAAAACACTTCCTATGGCATCTCTGCCAGAAAAAGCTACTGCTTGTAATCATTTAGACTCCTATTTAAGAGCCAGTGGAATAGGGATTCCAGTGTCTGGAGTTAATTCTTTTGCTTATCTACTTGCTTGTAGAGTGTTATTTTGGGTGCTGAAGTGGAAAGATAATCATTCCTGGATGTGTGGTGAAGTATCAGAGGAACAAATGTCATAAGAAGTAGTCAGAGTGACTTGTAGATCATGATAGCAAAGTTCAATTCTGTTTTCTGTTGGTTTAGCTTCTCCATGGAGGAGAGACAACCAACTATGTGGTCAGTGATATCCCCTCTGTGAGCCTCCCCAAAAATGACTTGGTGAACTAGCCTCCTATGCTCCTCCTTGATCCAGCATAGAGGTGTAGGAGGCACCTTTTCTCCTAGATTGCAAGAACTAGCAAGAAGAATAAGGAAATGGCAGAGCATCACCTTTCTTCTGCAGGTGGTGGGCTACCACAGCAAACATTGTGCTATGGTCTGTCAGAGCTCCTGCAAGGCATAGTGGGCAGCAGTGGTGCCACGTGTTGATCTTTCCTTCCCAAGGTGATTTGGGGATCAGAGTCTTTCTGCTCCCTGGTCTGAGAGGGCATAAAATGTCAGAACATTCACTTGCATGAGCTGGCAGTTGGTTGGTTGTTACTGCTGATGATACATATATAGATGCATATACAAATGTATATATTAAGGATAAATAAAATGGACCTGCCTAAAGGTCTAGGAATTGCACTGTTTATAAAATAGCATTGACTGGGTAACTGGCCTCTATCCAATGAGAGTTTCTTAATTAGATCTAGTAAGGTTTCTTTGAAGTTTTATCTGTCATTTTTTGGCTACACTGCAAATCAAATATCCTACATTGCCATAATTACTGCCATAATTTATCTGCCCTACTGTAGAAAACTGCAATGAAAACATTTGATTTCAGCAGAATAGTCAATACGGCTTTATCAGCACTTAGAGATAACCAAACATGTTGGTTAAGGCGAAACTTGAAGTGAGAGTTTTGCCACAAATAGGGCACAATGACACTATGCACAATGAAAGTGCTCTTGAAATTGTCAGGTGTGCTTTATAGGAGATAGAGAATACTAAAGGGAAATGAACATGCTAGCCTGTTTCCTACATTAATTCAACAAGTGAAAGTTATTTTGACATTACTCCTGCCTGTTGTGCTGCCTATGTTTGTAGCAAATTTTGGGTAACATAAATATTTATATTTTTTTGTTGTTGTTAACTAGTATCTCTGAATAACAGTGAAGTATATATGGATGGTGTAAAAATTCTATTAAGATATCAGGGATAAGTGAAATGTGAAGGTGAGAAAAATAAGTCACTCTTATTATTTTATTTTTAGCAGTAAAGAGCATTGATCTGGTGAGTGGCAAAAAGGAATCCTATTTGAAGGTTTAATTAAACCTACTGAATTTTATTGATGTTACCAATCACCAGGGACAGAGAGACTAAGGTTCCAGAACACTTAGTAGTGCTGACAGGGTGATTAAATACCTCAGGACTGTATTCTCAGGATAAAATTGAAGTATTGTAGCAGATCTGAAGCAGCAGAGCAATTTGCCTTGGAAAAAAAGTAAAGTGTGTGTGTGTCTGTGGTGGTGTTTTTTTCTTCTTCTTCTGCAGGAGTTATATAAATGGTAATTATACAGTCTTTAGCATTGTTATAGTTTAAGTTTTGACAGCATTTTCATTTTAAACCCTCTCTTCACCCCCCACACACTTTTTCATCTCAAAGTAAAACTTACTCTTCAGGGAGACTTCAGTCTCTTCAGTAGGGTAGTGTTACTTAGGCAATCAGCTTGAGCTGGTTCAAGTTATTTTGATATTCCAGAATAATAGAAAGAGATTCAGCATACTGCTGTCACTTTCTGTAAACCATATTATTGGACTAATCTAAAAATGTGCTCAGCAGGGTGCAGACAGCCCTTGGCAGGAGGTCCTTCTTGAACCTGCCTAGGACTTTCTGACCCAAAAGTAGATGCTGTCGTGAGTGGATGCTACTGTCTAGAGCTGACAGAAGGCTTTGAGCAGCGCTCAAGAGCCAAGCTGTAAATAACATTCTCTTACTCTGTTATTTTTGTTAAAAATAACAAAAAGTAATCTGCTACTGGGACCAATGGTGTATTTTCAGGTCCTCTGACATCCCCAAGATATGTAGGGTCATTTAAACAGACCGTTTTTTTGCACCTCTCAAATACTGCAAATATCAAGTATAGAAATCTCTTTATTTTCTTTAATTCCCTTATTTGTTTTCTTTGTAAGGGTGTCTTTATTGTAAAATAGTCACTTTTGTAATTGCGAAAGCCTTGAGAACTTGATTGACATCTGTTAAGCTAGTGGCTTTCCAATTTTAAATATTAAGTAGTCATTCTGAGTATCTCTAACCTTTCAGTAGACGATATTACTTATATGGATATCTAGGTGGTAAAATCTTTTGGAGGAGTAGTAGTAAGAGGCATTTGACATTTCCTTCAAACATTCATGTAAGGGGTGGGTGGGTAGTTGTAGGGGAGATATTGAACAATTAATATGGGAGAGACCCAAGGAATCTGCTGCTCATGCCTCTCCTCGACAGCTCTCTGCGCAGAAACATGGAGAAACTGAAATAAATTTGTCTTCTGTGGAGGAAAGGAAAGCAGATTTGAGAAAGTATGCAATTGCTTATTTCTTACTGTTTGACATGTCTGAAATTCATAATGCTGATATTCAGTCCTTGAGTAGTAATGGAGTATTCTTCAGATGAGAAGAATGAAATATGAAGGCAGACTTTGGCGAACTAAAAGCTGAGAGTTGGGAAAAGTAGGAAAGTGTCTTTGTTTTAAATGCAAGAAGTGTAGAGATTGGCAAGCACGCTTCTTTAAATTCTTACTTTGGTATATTAAATTCTATGAAATTAAAGTACTCTTTGCTTATAAACAAGCAACTATACAGGCATCACTTCAAATTTCAAACAATCTGTCTGCATTACAGTCTATTTTAAGCAAAGGCAGTCAGAGTTGCTTTTCTGTGACTGTAGGGCATAATCTCATTACTGGTTTCAGTGCAGGAGGTCAGTAAAATTAATTATCCACTTTCTCCTGAATGTCATAGTAAAATTATGTTTCTATAAGCAAAGGTTTTACTCTCCTTAGCACTTCTGGGAAAATCCTCTGGTTCTGCTCTGGACTTCAGCAATTTTAGATTTGTTTCCACTCACCAAATGGCACTTCAGTTCTCTTACGATCTCTTCTGATCAGGTCGTAGGAAAACCTATTTGGTGTTCTATTTGTCCTCTTTCTCTGAATCACAATCTTAAATGGATGTTCTTTCTGGAGGAAGACTATAGTTGGAGAATGCTGGCATAGTAGGAAATACCTAGCCCATGGATCTAGTAAAGAAAGGCAGATTACCATCAAGTGCTAGGAACCAAAGTTGCCAACTGGAGATGAAATGTTATACTAACTTAAAGGATCGTCATCAAGATGATGGAAGGTCAGTCTTTAAGAACACCTAATTCAAAATCCATCAAGTCATCTTCAGTGAATTTGGTAACCTTTGTTAGGAGGTATT